ATTCAGTCTATTTACCTCATTATTTCGCGGACCCTCCAGTGCTGCACGTGCTGACCTCTGCTCCTCAATGCACCTAGCGTGCGACTCTGGCCAATATTGGCCAATATTGGGAGTAAAGCGATTTCACTGATTGAACGACAGCTGTAAGGTTGCTCTCTGAAATCTTAGTAAAACCGTCCGTTTCGAGTCTGTTACGAAAAATAATGTTGCGTGACATGCATGACCTTCTGGAAGGTTCGCGAAAGGTCATGGCCTGTTTATTTTAGACAATTATGTAATCCTAATAAGCAAGGGTTTCTTAAAACTTTTGACGATAAAAATGAACGGTAAAACACGACGTTTCGACCGTGCTTCGGTCATTGTCAAGTGAATGGAATGAAATACAGTAAATATATGTATATATACACGTACGAAATATAAAAATTTTTTTTGCAGGCGTAAACAAACATTAAAACTACAAAGAAAGTGCTAGTAAAAAGTTAATTAGAAACCTTAGCACGAATTGAATCAGACTGTACATTGAGAGCAGGTCTTAGCTTGTGAATAAAAAACATCTCATAGACGAGACAAAAATGAAACTGTGTACGGAAAAAATTGACATAACACAAATGAATTGGAAGACTTTTGCTTAACACAAGTAAAGTTTGTTGTTAACTGAATTCATTTTAAGCCTTCAACGGAGCTTGGGTTTTGCAGTGAATTTTGGACAATTTGCCAGGCGGAAAACCGCACTTAAACCCCGTGTTCAAATTTTCGCAAATTTCTGAAAAAAATAACACTCGTCGGAACTTGTAAACTTGATTTTTGAAAACAGTTTACCAAAGGGTATCGTTGAGCAAAATAAGAGCAATTCACCAAAATGGTCGCTGACGGACGATTCTCGATCCTTACAGACAGCCATTCTTAATAAGCTGGATCTTGTCGATCTTCTTAGAGCAGCAACTAAGGACCAACTTTTCACGTTTAACGACCGGCTATATGATCAGATCGACGGAGTTGCTGTGGGATCCCCCGTTGGTCCTCTGTTAGCCAACGCTTTTATGTGCAGCATCGAAGAAACCCTGGAGCGTGAAGGCAAGATGCCCACGTACTACAAGAGGTTTGTTGATGACACATTGACCATTATGCCGAACAAAGCATCAGCAGACAGTTTCCTCGACATTTTAAACCAGTGCTATTCCTCTATTAAGTTTACCATGGAGACGGAGAGTAATAGCATGCTCCCTTTTTTGGGCACCCAGCTGCTCAACAAACGTACACATGTTGAGACCAAGGTGTACGTCAAACCTACAAATACGGGCCTTTTACTACATTACAAGAGCCATGTAGATGATCGTTACAAACGTGGGTTATTAAAAACTATGCTTGATCGTGCATTTNAGCTTATTAAGAATGGCTGTCTGTAAGGATCGAGAATCGTCCGTCAGCGACCATTTTGGTGAATTGCTCTTATTTTGCTCAACGATACCCTTTGGTAAACTGTTTTCAAAAATCAAGTTTACAAGTTCCGACGAGTGTTATTTTTTTCAGAAATTTGCGAAAATTTGAACACGGGGTTTAAGTGCGGTTTTCCGCCTGGCAAATTGTCCAAAATTCACTGCAAAACCCAAGCTCCGTTGAAGGCTTAAAATGAATTCAGTTAACAACAAACTTTACTTGTGTTAAGCAAAAGTCTTCCAATTCATTTGTGTTATGTCAATTTTTTCCGTACACAGTTTCATTTTTGTCTCGTCTATGAGATGTTTTTTATTCACAAGCTAAGACCTGCTCTCAATGTACAGTCTGATTCAATTCGTGCTAAGGTTTCTAATTAACTTTTTACTAGCACTTTCTTTGTAGTTTTATTGTATGTTAACACCTGCAAAAAAAATTTTTATATTTCGTACGTGTATATATACATATATTTACTGTATTTCATTCCATTCACTTGACAATGACCGAAGCACGGTCGAAACGTCGTGTTTTACCGTTCATTTTTATCGTCAAAAGTTTTAAGAAACCTTTGCTTATATATATATATATGATAAAAATAAACTACGTTTCTCAGATTTTATTATGATCAAAGACAATTGCATGGGAGGACTATGAATAATCATAAATCATATTTTGCCAGGAAATTTGATGAAACACATCGAAGAAGAGATCTGCTCAGCTACTTGAATATAAAAGTGTTGAAACTAATCTAAATTTGGGCGCCTGGAAAGGGCACTACTGGTGCATTAAAGTCAAAAGAGAGAATAGTGTTTTTAGAAATGTTGTGAATTTGGCGTGCAGGCCTCTGATCCCCTCCAGTATGTCCTACCCTTGACCGCAGTGTTGATGTATACGCTAAAGTAGCCTAAAGAGCAGGCGTAATTTGGGCGAACGAGTACTCAGTATTTTCTTAGCGAAATATGGCCGCCATCTTTGAATTTAATGGCAGTGAAAGGCTGGGGAGAGAAAGAAATTTATACCAAGGGGGTGAGTGACGGTAAAAGATACATACCGAATAATAGGATGCGTATTCATGTTTAAGCTATCATTATTAAACACGAAGGCGCGCTATATAAGGAAGTCTTCCCTGGGAAGCTCTAGGCTCATTTGTCTCATTTGATGATGGCCTCTCTTTATCATGGAATGCAGTTTTCTTTGGGAAGGGTTTGAGTCTGCTGAAATGAGACCATCTCATTCACCACATCATGATGGTGCAAATCATTCCAAAGCTAAAAAACCGTTTTATTCGTAAACTTGATATCATGATAAGGAAGTGGTATGGTAGCATTTGAAGATACTCAGTCCTAATACTGCTTACCTGCATATCCGAATTGCATTCGCAGTAAGATATTTATTACAGGGTTTAAATTGAAAACTGCTACATGACAAAATTTGTTCTTAGTTCCCTTAATTCCTCAAGTTTGTTTTTCAGTTTTAGAGTTGATGCGTTCATTTCTTGAAAGTCTTCCGTCGTTTCATGCATATCTGCCTTCAGTTGGATTAATTCACCCTCGATAACAGAGAGGACATCGAAACTGTTATGGGCTGGAAAGCTGCTGTCTTCGGAATTTTTCGTAACGTTGCCATTAATGTTCGGTGGAACTCGTGACTGTCTCTTGTTAATTACATCCTCGGAAACATCTTTTTTGCTTGTCGAAGATGCAAACCTAGAAGAAATTCCCTCTCTTCCCTTTCGACTTGGAAGTGGTAAATTCGCCATCAACGTTTTTACTTGTGCATTGTTTTCAAATGGAACGCCACTTTTCAGGGAGAAATTCGTAGCTGAATAATTTTGATTTTTAACGCCATTTTGTGGAATACCGTCGCCATCTGTCATTTGTGGTTCTCGAGGTGGCTTTATCATGGTTTCTTGAGGACCTTGGGAGTTCTTCTGCGGAATAATAACCGTCTTTCTTTCCCTTCTCGCTTTCAAATCTTTACCAGTTATTTCTGGATCAGACTCGCTATTACTTGAATCCGATTTCACTTTTGTGTTGGTCGCTAACGCCAAAGCTAACCTCTGCCGCAGTAGCTTGGCTGCTTTCCCCTGATCCGTCAAGGATATTTTCCGTTCTCTTTCCTTCCCATCGTTTTCTGCCTCCGTATTCGACGATTCACTGTCGTGATCGCCGCCAACTCGTCGCGGAGTTCTACTTGAACCTTGCATTCTTACACCTTTTCCGTTCGCGTGAGGATTAAAGTATTTAAACATGACATGTTTTTCATTTGAGTTTTTTTTAGAATCATTAATCAACACCCCACTTATGAATTAATTCAGGTCTCAGTCAATCGCACGATATCACCTAAACAGGCCCGACAAATTTAAGTGTAGATAAATTTCGACTGATGAGAACATTGAGTGAAGCGATTAAATTTAAGCTAGCCTTGCACCCGAAAACTTATGCGCGAGTTATTTCAACACTGAAATATTAGAAGACAAAACAAATCGACATTTGACGTACTTAACAAAATCTTTATATTGATCTTCCTTCCTGTATTGCGTGATTCTTTTTCTTCTGCATATTTTAATTGTTTTAAGCATAATTTATGAACCACAAATTGTAGCAGGGCTCCCGTGGCCTAATTTGCATAAACGTCCATTGAAGGTTTGCTTTAGCTTTAAATTCACAGGAAATTAAATGGCAAGAACGATTATCTCTTAATTTTATCTGAGTTTTTATACTCGACGATTCGTTTCCCTTCCTTTGTTAGTCTTGTCGCTGATTGTATCGCTTCTTTTTCATAAACATTTCCTTTCAGCGAACTCAAGTTGGGCAAAAACCTAATCAATTTCTTCAATTGCCCCTTTTTTCGTATTTTTCTTCTCGCTGTAGCTTATCATCTGAGGGATAGTATCAACAGATCATCAAATTTCTGTCAACACCACTAATCCAGTAGTGCCTGAAACATCTACCAAAAAGGTCCATTTTTTTTTCTAATTTGTTCTCAGAATTTTCGACGGACATACATTTTTCTACTGAAGAATGTTTTTCAAAATAGGATATTTTTCTCTCTAGACCTACTATTCACCTTATCGGAGATCATCTCGGCAAATATTACAGTAACAAAGCTTTGTTTTCAAGAGTTTGTAACAAATACATTTTGAAAGAAGTTATTGACATATAGTTACACTTTGTAAAGTTTCCTGTCATGCAATCTTTATTGCAGTATTTCTTGGGGTCAGGAATGTCAGAGGGGTTTGACGCTTATCAAATGAAAACCCATCCAATTTCAACTAGATTCCACACGTGTTTTGAGAAAATCGAACAATCTTTATAATCTTTGATCACGCGACGAAGTTTGGCAAGCGGAAACCAATCACGAATTTCCAATTAACCATGTGTAATTTTTAGTATAAAGTGTTTGGATTTGTGAGCACGGCAGGCGCATGACAACTTGGTGAAGAACCACAGGGTTACTGGAGGCAGACACTCAAATGGCCCTCGCTAGAATTAATAGACTGTGGCTCGATAAAGTTCTCGATAAATCGAAGCAAGCTCAGTGGTGAGTTTTAAGCGTTTATAGATATTGGATTGATTTGTAAACCATTCAAAGTTCATGGAAGCCATTTAAAAATAGGACGACACGGCGCCAACGCTTTTGTCAAGTTTAACAGCTCTCTGATCAGTCATTTACTCTTGGATTTTGTAGGATTTACGACGTAATCTTCAGCCCTAATGGATCATATATCCTTGCTGCTGCTGGAAACTTAATCTTGGTAATTCATACTGTTACAAACGAGCCAGATGATTTCTTTGAAAGCCGTCTTTCTATGTTTTGTTTACAAATGAGTACGGTTTGTTTGACGAAGTGTTGCTCTTTGTCAATTGCATGTCATAATTAAACTAAATGGTTTCAAACGGCTCTCGCGACATCTTTCACCACGAGTTTGAAATATGGTATGATCAGAGCCTGAATGTTTTTTATTATTCTTTAGTCTAGGGGCTAGTACGTTATGACTCTCGTTACAGCAAAAGGCAAAAACACGCAGAATTATCAAAAGGAAAATTTTTTCTCTAGCGTGGTTGGATTTCCGTTAACGCGGGTTAATGCAATTTTCGGTTTTGGGAGACCTCAAATCCAGCAAACGAGATTTAAAATAAAAAAGCAGGTTCAAATAACAAACCCGTTATTGTCAACGGGGATAAATTACTTAGAGGGGGTAAAGATTAGTCTTTCCAGCTATTATTTCACGTTCTTGCGGTAGGTGCGTTCATTTAGGGGCCCCTTTATCCGGTTGCTTTCAATTCTTTTCGATCTTGATACGATTACGAGAAAAATTTGGATTAAGTCGGCCGGTGCTTCCAATAAAAAAAATAGAGAAAAGAACAGGCTTAATTTGACTTTTGAAAATGGCTTTATAGAAGACTTATGTGTGAAAAATCACACCTGATTTTTTTTTTGTTGTTTTTTTTTGTTACAATCAGCTTTTCCCTGGCCCAAACTTGCCGTGCTTCGAACCAAGCTCCGGAGATTTCTGTCACAGGAGAAACATTTTATTAAAGATATATTTATCATGATGTACAGATCCAATTGGCACGTACTGCAAGCCGTCCATGCCTCTGATCGCTGTCGCTGCAACTGAACGTCTTTCGCGGTATAGGTCAAATTTTCTGGAGACTTTGATGAGCCACAGTGAATTGTTTACAAAACACTACACACGGAGAAATCTTTCACGCAAACGTTTCTAAGGCAGCAGCGAATTCTGATCTTGAGAACAGGGTAAATCATAACCGGAAATTCTTTCAAATTTTCGACACTCGATGCTCCTTGGAGTGATAAGCTGATTGTATTTCACACATTCACACATTACGGATGTAAATGTTTCTTGCATTCAGCAATATTTCAAAATTCACTTACACTTCACTGATTGTTCATGAGAATGAACGAGACCGTTGTATTTTTGTATATTTGTTTGTTAATTTGTTTTGTTCACTTTTGTTTGTTTTTTTATTTTTTTTATTTTTTGCAACAATCATCTTTTTATTGGCTTCAATCGTGACCTGTGCAGTTAACAAAAAAAAAAATATGACCCAAAAGTTCAAAGGGAGGTTGACAATCAGCCAAAACTATTTTTATCCGGAAATTCTTTAAAAATATTTTGCACCTGATGCTCCTTGATAAAAAAGTCATTTCAGCAGACAAATCAGCACGCTGGGCCGAGTACATTATCAAAATATCCCTTAATTTTCAATTACCTGGTTTGTAACTCTCCTCCTTAAGGTGGCTCGTACCGGTTTTCATCCTTTTGATGGTTTGTAACTTTGAAAGAATACAACAGAAAGACTGACCAA